GATTCCATTTTGTGATCAAGAGCCATTTTGTGTCTGTAGCTAAGTTTCCGTTGCTGTTGTGAGTGGCCAGACCTGCCACCTTGGGCCACGGTGGGGTCCCAGTCCTGCCACCTGGGGCCACTGAGAGCTTTGTCTGGGTCTGTGGCTATGCAGTGTCAGGGGTCAGTGTTGATGTCCATGGCTCATATTACCATGAGGGATATGGATGTCCTGGGGCTGTGCAGAACTGACCTCGCCCCTCACTAGATGCGGTGGTACTCTGGAGAGCTGGTCCTATCTCTCATTGCTGGCAGGGTGGGCCCCCTGCCTTGCCCAGGCAACACAGTGGAGCTGGCCCTAATGAAAGGGGTGTGGGTGAACCCTGAGGGCATGAGTGTGAGAGCTGCCTCTGCCATTTGTGTGCTGTGGGGTGGCACAGTGTAGAGGTGGTTCCCCTCCAACAGTCGGGAAAGTGGCCCCAGGGTCAGGAGAGCAGGAGAGCTGTCCCTGCCTCTCGCTGGTCACAGCACATGGGAGAATGGGCCCTGAACCTCACTTGGGCAGCACAGTAGGGCTGGCCCTTGTCAAGAGGCATGGGTGAGCCAGCCCTGAGGGTGAGAGCAAGGGAGAACTGGCCTGGCCACTAGTGTACCATGAGTCCCCCTCCCCCTACCTCTGCCCCTCCCCATCTTCAGTTATCAGAAGAGCTGGTCCTGCCCTCTCACTGGCTATAGTACTGGCTATAGAGAGTGGACTGTGCACCTTGGCTGGGCAGCACAGTGAACTGGCTCTGGGGGAGTGAGTCAGGTGAGCCAGGCACGGAAGCAGGACTCCTGCTGGCCCTGACTCCTGCTGACAGCAGCATTGGGTGGCCTAGCCAGAGCAGTGTCAGAGAGCTTGCCCTGGTGGTGTGGATAAAGGAGAGCTGGTGGACTGACCAGCTCAGCTACCACGCAGGCCCAGATCCAGGCTCTGAGATGGCCCACCCCAAAATCTACATCATCTGCAAATGGTTGGGTTGTGTGAAAGTTCTGCTGATCCAAAGCTGCAGGATCTCCATGACACAGGGCAACAACAAGATAACTGGGAGGAGTCCTGTTGGGGACCTAATATTGATGGTGTCACAGAAGCCAGGGACCTTGAACCAGATCAATGACTCACTGGAATGAACATTTGCAAGTGAAGCTGTGTAGACAGAGGGATCTACTGTGGGGCACACTGAGATATCTTCTATGCTTTGTTTGTTTGTTTGTTTGTTTGGAGTTTTTTTGTGTGTATTGTCGTTTGTTTGTGTGTCTGTGTTTTATTTTGGGGGGAGATTGCAAGGGCAAAGTATAGGATAAAATTTAAAGGTAGCAGTTGCTGGTGTTTTTTTTTTTTAACCTGGTTAACTCCCAAATAATTGAGACAAGACCTATTGATTTATTCAACAAGCTTTAAGCATAATAACTGAGCAGGCGTTCCCAACCCTCTATGCTGTCTTAGCTCTTTTCCAGCCACTCACTCTGAGATAGTTGCATTCTGTGTCTCCTTGGCTCCGCCCACTGTTGTTATCGGTCCCCATGGAGAACTCCATTGCAGACTCCTCATCATGCCCGACCTAATGCCGAACCCCTTCCTCTTCCTCCGCCTGCCTCAGGTCCCTTCTCCTCACCTGCCTAGTTGTGAACTCCTCCCTGGCTCTCCTCCCTGGGACCCCTGGCCGGGACCAGAAGTTCAGTCTTTATCTCCTCTTCCCAGTCATTGGCTGTTCAGTCTTTTATTAACCAATCAGAGATAGTTGAGGAACATTCTTTACACCATATTGATAGAGTCTTCAATCTTTATGACAGTGCTTGTGCCCAGACTGTAACAAGATCTTGGGACACAGAAATCAGCATTTGAACACGAAGAGCAAAAGAGTCTCCTCCAGCAGCAAACAGTGGACACGAGGGCATGGGGAGATGAGCAGGACTGGACTGCAGGATATGAAACTCATAAAGAATCAATAAAAGATTTTTTAAAAAAAGGATTAAAAAATGAAGCTTTTCTGTTTTTCTATGAAATATATCTATGTTTTAAAGTTTATTTTGATATTAAATGAGATTCAATTTTTAAAAATGTGATTTTTAAGGCTGAAAAATATTAGGGATAGAATTATAAACCCTTAATTTATGAGAATTACCGATTTATTGTAAACTGTTAAAAGTAATTAAGACAGAGAAGATAATAAAGCCAGGCATGGTGGTGCATGCCTTTAATCCCAGCACCTGGGAGGCAGAGGCAGGTGGATCTCTGAGTTTGACATCAGCCTGGTCTACAGAGTGAGTTCCAGGACAGCCAGGGCTACACAGAGAAACCCTGTCTCATTCCCCTGCAAAGATAATGATCTTATAAGTTATTAAGTGTCTTTAATGTGTCCCAAATTGTGTTTGTAGTCAAGCTAAGTACAAATGTAATTCATTTACAGTGATAAGCTTGGAGGGAGAAACCAATTTATACCTCCCATTGTATATATTGTCAGTTAAGCCTAAAACATGTAACTCAGAACAATTTTAAGGTAAACTTAAAGTTTATTTAATATAAAATAATAGTCAAAATCAGGTGTATTTTAAAAGCTGTTGAAAAATTTGAAAGCTTGAATAAAATGGGTTAAATTACACTCACGTGGCTACACTTTCATGGCAAGACATCCCAGGCTCGAGCAATCCCCTTTTCCTTGGATGGGACACAGACCCCATCAGAGTAAATTGCATGTTAGTGTCATTACAAGAGTAAGACTCCTGGGAAACTATACTTCCAGGAAGTTTGCTGCTCCTGTCTCTGGCTGTGTAGGCCAGACCTGGGAACCCTCCTCCTTAGCTCCAGGGAAAATGAATCACTCTTCCTGTCTCACATGACAGGGGATGAACTCTGTCACCCAGCAAAGGGTCTTGCAGTCTGCATTTACATCCTCAATGTCTCCCCAGTGGACATATGGGGACGCTGTGAACAGGAAAAGCCTGTACCAGCTGCCTGACTGGCATGGGACCTGCATGCTAGTTCAATTGGCTACGTCCTCTACTCTGCCTTTCTATTATTCCTCGTAGCTGACAGGAAATTACCTGATTCCATCAGAAGTCCCTCAGAGAGTTTCAAACACTATACAACAGAGGCTCTGACACAGGGTCAGTTAGCCTAGCAGGCTCAACTATGGACATTCGTTTAGTACAGAGTTATAGGTGTCACTTGGACCCACCATTACTGAGTCCTGAGGGGGAAGAAACCTGGAAACCCATCATAAGGCTTAAGAAACCCAACAGTGGACATTTGGAGATAGGGATGGTTAGATCCCCGAGGCACCATAAAGTGACAGAGGCAAAAAGAGACCAGAAGAGACTGTTTATTTCAAACAGCAATGGACAGGCTTTCTCCTGATGGAAAAGGGGTGCCTTTCAAGGGAGAAGGGAATGCTCAGAGTTTATATGGGGAGTGTTGGAAATAGAGACGTTAAATGTAGCTTCAGGGGGCTACCTGCCATTCTGAAGTCTCTACTTCCTGGAGTTGCTTGTCCAGACAAGGCCATTTCAGCTTTAGGAATGCCCTGTCCTGGCTATCAAGATGCAGGTGACAGAGGGTGATGGAGTTAGGTGAAGGCAGTGGGGGAGGGGCTGGAGTGTCAACATAGGGACAGGGGATTTCAGCAAGTCTTAGGGCAACTCAAACTTCCTTGGTCAGGATCTGGTTTTATTTCTTCAAGGATTATGACGCTCTTTTTTTCCCTTTGGATTTATGGTAATATTAGTTGTCCCTTAGTAATAATAAATAAAAATCACCAACAGTCCCTGGTTCCATAGCTGGTTTCACTGGAATCCATGGTCAACAACCTTATTCATAGCCCCAGGGGTCTGATTGTCTTTGTCCTCCTACGTCTAATGATCAGGCCCTGCCTAATTAACTGATTGTTACTCTTCATAAAAAACCGTGATTTAAAAGTAACTGAAATATACGGATGAGTGACGTGTCCTAGGTAAGACTGTCTTGTCTTGACTTCATTTTGGTCTGCTTAGACACTTCTCAGCCCCTTGACCCTCCCCACACAGTCTACACATTGGGGATTTCCATGACTCTGAGCATGGTTCAGATGCATTAACCAAAATAATATGTTTATGATAAATGAAGAAGGCATAAGTTAAAAATAATTGCTATGCTATGCATGAAAAAAACTACTATGTTCTGCCAAAAATAAATGTTGCAAGTTTACTCTGACTCTCATCTGACATTGATGTAACTGTGGTTTGTATCTTTAAAAATGCTATACCCCTGAGCTTGGGCACCAAGAGACTCAGCCACTCTTGATCACAGCCAAAAATAAAGGACTCATTTGCTTTTAATTGTCTTTATCAGCATGGTTGTATCTTTCTCAAGTGGATTTACTATAGTGTGCAAGCTCACAGTGTGTCTGCCTGGTGCCTGTGCAGGTCAGAAGAGGGTATTGGATTCCATTCAACTCCTGGAATTGGAGTTACACGGATGGTTGTGGGCCCTGATCCTCTGAAAGAGAATCAAGTTAGCTTAGCTGCTGACTTCTCAGTCCACACAAATTTACTGTCTTTCATTGTAGACTTTAGCTGGATGTGATCCCAACACTTAGGAGGTAGAAGGAGGCTGATCTGTGAGAATTCAAGGCTAGCCTAGTCTACACTGGGACTTCTAAGACAGTCAAGGAAAAATTGAGAGGCCCTGCCTCAAAATAAATAAAATTAATAAACTAAATAAAGCAGACCTTGGAAGTGCTAAGTACAATTAGAAATGAGTTTAGTTTGAATATTTGTTTTGTAATGTCCAAACAGCTCTGGAAGTTTGGAGTGCTACTGGAAAATTTGAATAAGAAACCTTTGGGTGGCTGGTTAGACATAATGGCAGCCTGGGTTCTCAGGTAGATGGCCAGGCCTGCTGAGACTTCCTCTCCTCCTTCCTCTCCTCGGTCCTTCGTGCTGTTGGTGCTCTCTAATCACAAACCCAGTATATTGCTGAGCCATAGATGCAATATATGTTTGTTCTTATCGAACAAAAAAGGTGCCATGTTATTTTATTGGTCATTTAATGCTCAGGACGCCCTTTTACCCAGGAGCCTGGAGCACCGCGCTGGCCTGGGAAGGCAGGTGTGGGGGCTTGGCCTTCATCTGTCCAGAGGGGACCCGCCACTCTGTCGCGCGTGGCAGGGCAGTGCACTCCTACTTCTCCGCATAGCAGTAGGTCCCGTAGGCCGCCTGCTGGGGCCGGGGGAAGCCGAAGCTGCGCACCCCGGGGTCAGGGAGACCCCCGCAGCGCGGCCGCGGCGTGGTGATGGGGAAGCGAACGCTGCCGTCCGCCAGCCAGCCTCCGTCGCACCGATCCAGCCCCGAGAACTTCCAGGCGGCGTAGAGGTGCCCGACCTTGGCTACCACAGCTCCGCGCCGCCGGCAAGCCGCGTGGGCTTCGGTCAGCGTCAGCCGCCCGGGCACGAAGAACACCTGGCCTGGGAACGTGAGCCGGTGACCGGCCCCCTGAAGCAGCTGGCGTGGGACGGGGACCGGCCGCGAAGCTCCGGAAACGACAACCCGAGAACCCCTCACCGGACCGTGCGGAGGAACATCGTCTAGGATGCTCCCGGCCTGACATCAGACTCCGCCCACACCCTGTCTCTCTGTCCGGCTCCTGACACTGGCCCCGCCCCCAGGCCCAAGCCCCGCCCCGCTCTTCCTCCAGGCCCCGCCCTCCACACTGGGAGCTGACCGGCCCCTGCTCAGCCTACAAGTCCAGCTCCTGCCACCTCCCAGGTCCTTTCCCCCGGCCAGGGAGTCCTTCCCCCGGCTCGGACCCGGCACCGGCCTTTCTGCAGGCGGAGTCCCCAGGCCGGGCCCCGCCTGCCCGCAGTTGGCTCACCTGCCAGGGCCGAGGTGAAGCAGAAGGCGTCGTAGCGGTCGCGGCTGCGGTCGCGGGGCCCGTAGCTGCGGATGCCTGGCCGCCCGTGGCCGCCGCACGGAGCCCGCGCGGTGAGCACAGGGTATCGCACGGAGCCCTCGAGCAACCAGCCGGCGTTGCACCAGTCCAGCCCCTCGGTCCACGCTGGCGGAGGAGGGGGTGGGGAAGACGGGAGTCACCGGTGCAAGCCAGACTCTAGCTCCCCGCAAGCTCGCCCGGGCCAATATGCAGCCAGCGGCCACCAGCAGGGGGTCCGCCGCTCACCCTGGTAGAGTTGGCCGTAAGTGGCCAGGCGTCCGTCCTGCTCCTCACACGCCTGCTTCGCCTCGAAGTAATTGAACTGGTAGCGGCCCCGGCTGGGTTGGTACGGAAACACCACACCTAGGGAGCGGAGAGCGTGGGTAAGGCAGTTGGATGCCGCGTTTAGCGCGGGCAGGGGGCTGGCAGAGGTGAGGTGGCCCGATACAGCCAGGGAACCTCAGTGCCCGCGCAGGAAAGCTCACCCTCCAAGCGCAGGGTCAGTGCCACGCTCTCGTCCTCGATGCCATTGATGAGCTCGCAGCGGTACCGACCCTCATCCTCTAGACGTACGTTCTTGATGATCAGGGAGGCATCCAGCCGATGCCCCTTCCGCAAGCTGGCGCGCCCTCCCAGAAGCCCGTAGTCCCGGGCGTGCAGTCCGTTGGTGATGAGGATTAGCGTTTCCCGGAGCTCCCCGGGCTCCACTTTGCTCCAGCGTACTTTGTAGCTGGGAGGCGAGGTGCCCAGGACGCAGGGCAGTGTGGTCGTGGCCCCACGACGAGAGTGAATGACTTCGTGGATGGGGGGCAGGAGGTAGTGGGGACTCGGATGGGGGGCTGAGCAGAGGGGCCACAGTGGCAGGCTTCTTATCTCCCCTGCCCCAAGTGCCCATTCAGACCTAGTCTCCAGAGGCTTTCCTCGGGCTCATCCTTACCTCTCCCCACTGATTCTCACTCCCTAGGTACTTTCAACAGTTGCCCCTTTTATTCGCCCATCCCTTGGTCCCCTACCCCAGTGTCCTGGTTGGGGGCTGGGCTAGGATCTTACCCGGGTTGCCCAGGGCTTTGTGAAAGCTGGTGAAGGCCCAGGGGAGAAGGAAGCAGCAGAATGCAGGAAGAGGGATCCGGCTGGGCATGGTTGTGTCAGCAAGCACTGTCTGCAGGGCACAGGTGAAGGTCACTCCTTAGGACTGGAGGGAAGGATGGGACGGCAGAGATGAGGATTGGCTTCCTGTTGGGTGCATGTAGGCTGCAAGCCCACAAACCAACGGGGCTGATGACAAATCATCTCAGCCAGCAAGTCCTGACTTAGCATCTCCTTTCTGGGTCCCTTCATCCCAGCTACTTCCCAGGCCTTCCCTTGGAATTTTAATCTCTGTATTCATTCGCCAGCATCACTTTCTACCCCAGAGCCAAATTAAATATGATTTTTCCTGCTTGGAAGAGTGGCTCTCTCTCCCCTCTTCCCTCCTTCCCTCTTTCCCTCCTCCCTCCTCCCTCTCCCTCTCCCCCTCCATCTCCCCCTCCTGCTGATAAAGTCAAACCTCCTTCACCTCCAAGGCTCCAGGATGCAGCTTCCCCTGTTGTCAATAACTCCCCTAATGACTCTGTACTGGAGTCTAGGCGCCCTGGACTTGAGAGTCGGAGATTGGCCTGACCTCTGGAAAACCTTCCCTCATTCTTCAGTCTGTCTCACTGTGGCATGTGAAGTCTCCTGGAGCAAATGGGGAACTTTTCCCTAAGACCCTTACTATCGCCTAAACTACCATGCACACGAGTGGGTAGGCTGTGTCACTAGGATTTTCCAGGAGTCACAATGCATGACACCATCAAGTTATCAGGACAGTGTAAACTGCAGCTGTCTGTCTGGGCTATGGAGTCTCCTCCCCCACACCCTGTTTTTTGATCATTTCTATTCTTATCACCTTGAACTTTTTTTTTTAACCAAAAGGTGGACTGATGACCCCTTGTTTTTATTTATTTTATAGACTGGGCTCTTCCATATGCTACATGCATAATCTTAAAAGAGTAGCTGACCCTCAGCCTCAATGTCTTGGTTAGTAAAGTCATAGTTGTAACATCCTGCCTATGGTAGCTAGTCCTCACTGCCAACTGGAGAGGACTTAGAATTACTTGCCCGGCAGTGGTGGCGCACGTCTTTAATCCCAGCACTTGGGAGGCAGAGGCAGGCGTATTTCTGAGTTCGAGGCCAGCCTGGTCTACAGAGTGAGTTCCAGGACAGCCAGGGCTATGCAGAGAAACCTTGTCTTGAAAAAACAAACAAACAAAAAACAAAACAAAACAACAGCAACAACAACAACAAGGAATTACTTAGTAGACTTTGAGGCAAACCTCTGGGCATGTCTGTGAGAATGTAGCCAGAGAGAATTAGCAGGGAAAGAGGCCATGGCAGGAGCACCAGACAGAAGGAAACAGAAAAGGAGAAAATGGGTCAAGGCCCAGGATTCCCTTCCAAGCCCATGCTGGTGAGAACTGCTGTTTTGCCATTTCTCCAAGGAAACTGAGCCAAAACCAATCTTTCTTTAAGCTGTTTATGTTGACTATCTTGGACATAGCAACAACAAGCATAAGTAACACACTATACTTCACAGCTGTGAGAATTAGCTGAATGAAACATGTATTTGTAAAACACTTAAAACAGTGCCTGGCATGTAACATGTGTGACACATGCTATAGAATACAGAGTAAGGCCAACCTGTGCATGCACTGCTCTGAGTTAACATTAAGGGAAGAAGACACCAGTAAAGAAAGGCCTTGAAGAGTATCTAATGTGCTGGGTCCTAAAGATCAGTTTGTAGCTAAAGAAACAGGTTAGTTACATTAAGAACTTTCCCGCCAGGTGGTGGTGACACATGCCTTTAATCCCAGTACTTGGGAGGCAGAGGCAGGCAGTCAGCCTTGTCTACAGAGATTTTCCCCGTGCTATACAGAGAAGCCCTATCTTAAAAAAACAACCAAACACAAACAAGACAAAAAAACAAACAAATAAAACCCACTCCACCAAAAAAAAAAAAAAACAACAACAACAAAAAAAGGAAAACCACCCTCACCTTTCCAATAGGGGTTGAAGACACCAGTGTTTGGTTCCCAGTACCCATGCCAAGCAGGCCACAGTTCCAATGGCACCCTTTTATGGACTCTGAGGGCACCTACTTTCATTAGCACACACCCACACTTACACACATACACATTCATAATTTAAAAAAATCTTCCAATAAAAAAAATAAAAGCCGGGTGGTGGTGGCGCATACCTTTAATCCCAGCACTTGGGAGGCAGAGGCAGGTGGATTTCTGAGTTCGAGGCCAGCCTGATCTACAGAGTGAGTTCCAGGACAGCCAGGGCTATACAGATGAAACCCTGTCTCGAAAAAACAAAAAACAAAACAAAACAAAAAAGTGCCATGGTAGTACATGCCTTTAATCTCAGCACTCAGGAGGCAGAGGCAGGTGAACCTCTGTGAGTTCGAGGCCAGCCTGGTTTATATAGAGAGTTCTAGGACAGCCAGGGTTACACTCTTTCTCAATTAAAAATAAAAGCATGTGGGACAGGAGTCCATATGGGACAACCTGGCCATTGAGAGTGCTTGTTATGTTTAAGAGCTACCAAGATAGCTCAGTGTCTGAAGATGATTCCCACCAAGCCTGATGGTCTGGGGTCATTTCCTGGGAACTCACACCCTTAAAGGAGAGAACTGACCCCCAGAAGTTGTCTTCTGACTCCATTCACTCAAGCACGGCACAAGCACACCACACCACACATAAACACATAATAAATAAAAATCCAATAAAAAAAGTGGACTGAGAGTGATCCAGAATAAGGTACCACGGACATGTTTAAAGTCCAATCTGACTTAGGCACTTTACTGTATACTTCTGTTCTGACCCCTCTGGCTATCCAGGGAGGCATTGATGAATGCCACAGGTGCAGTCACACAGCTATGAAAGAAGGGTTGTCTGGGGTTTGAATCCAGATCGGACCAGCTTGAGTTCTTAGTCACTGGTCTAGAGTTCTGTATTTCAAGAGCGGCACACATGTAACATTTCCATACCCCTTGCAGAAAGAAACAACACAGCAGCCAGTAGCCCACTGCCTACCTGCAAGATGGTCTCTCTTCAGCGGCAAAGGGAGCCGTGCTCAGCAGCTTCCTGTCCTGCAGAAGGAAGACGTTGCACAGTGGGTGCATTAGTGATCCTGGAGTTCAAAGCACCCTAAAGTCTCAGGGCTTGAGCACCTGATCAAGATGTTGTGGCTCCTCTGACACTGTTCTACAGAGACTTGCTTCCTGTGCTTAAAGAATCCAAGGCACTGAGGCCTATGTTCATGCAGCACACTAAGCCAACTGTGACTGCATCTGTGCCACTTGATGTCCTGGGGCCAGGGCAAGACTCCAGTTGGGATGGTGGGGGACAGAGTAAAGCAATCCAGGCGATTACCTAAAAGAGTGCAGAAAGTGGGTCTTGCTACTTACTTCTCCTGTCCTTAGACCAGGGGTGGGACAGACCGACTGTAAATACAAGGGTGCTGGTCCAGGAGAGGTGGGGACAAACCCTAAATGTGAATCCAGCTCTGTATTTCCATATGAACCCCGTCCAAACAACAGAATTGCCCTTCCCCCAACCAAAGCCCTCACCTGCGCCCTCTGTGCCAGGCAACATATGGCCTTTCGGAAGAGGCTTTCAAGATGGGAATCAGACTTTCAGGATGTCCGGCTGCTTCAGGACCCTGACCCTTTCTGTCTGTCTGTCCTTTTCTTTTCTGTCCACACCCTATTGGAAACACAATTTCCCATTGTCTCTGTCTTCTCCCCCATTGTTGGGTAACAGGGACTCTTTATTCATCCGTTGGGCAATGGCATGGAAATGTCCACAGCTGGGTATGTGGGATGCAGGACAGGCTGGCACAAACCACCGGAAAAAGGCCTGGGTGGGTGATTGGCACGCAGCAGAGATTGACATCCAGTAAGGGGATAGGAGAAAGTTGAAGTGGGGCACCCTCAGTACTTCTAACTCCAGGGTCATGGAAAGATCGTGTGTGATGCTGGAGGACCACCTCACCCATGTGGCACAGCGGGGCAGCTAGGATTGCTCCTGGCCCGAGAGGTAGAAATCACATGAAAATGTTTCTGTCCCTGGAAAGAGACTCTTAGCAAGGAGGGACTATGGGAGTTCTCTACCTATTTTTATTTTATTATTTTAGATGTATGAGTGTTGCTTTTAGAAGTATAGTGGTGTATGTCTGTGCACCATGTCTGTGGTGCCTAAAAAAAGGCTAGAAGAGGGCACCAGATACCATGGAATGGAAGTTACTAATCCTAGGGGCTGTAACTTGCATGCTGAGAATGAAACCTGAGTCCTTTGAAAAAGCAACAAGTGCTCTTAACCCCCAGCCATCTCTCCAGCACCATGGGGATCTCACTAAAATAGAGTCATCTGATTTCACAGTTCCTCCTTCCTCTGCACCAGTGGATGAACTTTTTTAAAAATTTCAGGAAGACTGGTGATATACTCTGTAGGTTAAAAACCACATCCGGGCAACTGAATTTAATCACCAGATACACAGTGGAAAGAGAAGACAGACTCCCAAAAGTCGTCCTCTGACCTCCACACCCAAACTCAACCTGAAGTACCTCACATACAACAAAACATTTGGAGAGGACACAGATGTGGACTACCACTTGAAATGCTGAAGCAGGAGGATTGCCATGAGTTTGAGTCTGCCTTGGGCTATGGAGTGAAACCTTCCTCAAAAACAAAAACAGGGCCAGAGTGGTTAAGAGCACTAGCTGTTTTCTAGAGGATCTCAATTCAATTCCCAGCACACACATAACAGCTCACAGCTGTAACTCTAGTCTCAAGGGATCTGACACCCTCTTTTGGTCACAGTAGGTGCCAGGCACACATATGATGCATAGGCATACATGCAGGAAAACATCCACATATATGAAATAATAAGATTATAAAAATAAATGTCTGAAAAGGAGGATACTTAGTCTTTCAGGTGGAAATTTATTTCCTGTACAGCCTTTCTGGCCTCTCCTCATGCTGAAGTCCACTCCCACAGACCGAGTGACAACTCACACACACATACACTTGGTATGGCATGGTTTTTATGTATGTACACCATATAGACAGGTGCCCATCAACAATTCAGAGTAAGGCTAAGGCTTTGGCTTCTGTCAATGCAGCAGACCTGCCCCCAAGACAGTTATTTACAATCCCTTAAAGCTTCAAATTTTTTCTTCCTCCTTCCTTTCTTTTTTTCATATTTTATTATTTTTAGCTGAGAGTGATGGCACATGCCTTTAATCTCAGAACTCAGAGGCAGAGGTGGTAAGTCCTGTTAGAGTCTGAAGCCAGCCTGATTTACATAGCAAATTCCAGGACAGACAAAGTTACATAGAGAAGTCCTGTCTCAGAAAAAAAAGAAAAAAAACCCCAAAACTTTATTTGTCATTTTTTTAACAGATTTATTTATTTTATATATATGAGTACACTGTAGCTGTCTTCAGACACACCAGAAGAGGGCATTGGATCCCATTACAGATGGCTATGTGCCAACTCATGGATGTTGGGAATTGAACTCAGGACCTCTGGAGGAGCAGTCAGTGCTCTTAATCATTGAGCCATCTCTCCAGCCCCTATTTGTTATTTTTAGTCATGCATGTGTCTGAGTTTGGGTAAGTGCATGTAAGCTACTGAGGAAGACAGAAATGTCATGTCCCCCAGCCTAGAGTTATAAACAGTTGTGAACTCCCTGACAGGGCCCTGGGATCTGAACTCAGGTTCTCGGCATAAACGGCTTAGGCTCCCAACCACTGTCTTTCTAGCCCCTTCAGATTGCTCCGAGCCATCGTTTTCTCTGCTGAACAACCCTGCCTGGTAGTTTCAGGATTCTAGACTTATCTATTTTAAAAGAGGGGCCCAGACACTGAAGATATGAGGGACGATGCTGTGCACTAAGGCAGGGCTGTGACTTAAGCGTCCCAACTTTTTGTTGTTTGTATCCATTATAGGTCTCATTATGGTAGACCCAACTGGCCTGGAACTCGATATGTAGACCAGGCTGGCCTCAAACTCACAGAGACCCCCCTGCCTCTGCCTCCTGAGGGCTGGGTTTGAAGGCAGTTGACCCCTTCCTCCACTCCTATCCCTTAAGTGTGTATCAATGTTTTATTTGCATGTGTGTCTGTGCATCAGGTGCATGCCTGCTTCCTGCACAGGTCAGAAGAGTCCATCAGATCCCCTGGACCTGGAGTTACAAATGGTGCTGAGCTTCCATGTTGTTTTAGGAATCGAACTCAGGTCCTCTGGAAGAGCAGCCAGGGCTCTGGACCACTGAGCCATCTCACCGGCCCTCCGATTTTTCTGCTAACCCTTCTGTTCTTCTTTTGATCTCCTTAAGTCTGATGAACCCCCAGAATATCATTTGGGTATATTTAACAAGGGACCAACGGGGTTATACTCTTCAGGGCCTGGTTGACTGTCCTTCTCCAAGCAGCTACACCCCCAATCCTGCTGCTAAGCCCTCCCCTCCTCCTGGGACTTACCCATCCATTCCTAGTGAGAGGACAAATAGCCTGCTGTCTCAGGGTTCAGGACGGCCTGATCCCATGCATCTGATTGGCTTTCTCCCAAGAGAAACAGAAGAGAGGGGAGGGTCAAATCTAGAGAGCTGGGGCTCCTCCACGGAGCCTGCTCGTTCCCTCTACTGTAGTTACACATTGGGTTTCTCCATCATGGAAGGGCTGAGCTTGGCCAGCTCAGAACTACTCTCGCTGCAAGAGGAGGCCTCTGAGGAAGACTGAGGAAAGAACCCGCAGTGTGTGTATTCAAGGCTACTCTCTCAGCTCAGGTCTCCAGACCCTGGAAAGAGGAAGCGGGTAAGTGCTACCAGGCCTTGCTCTCCGGACTTGACTCCCCGTCTGCAGCTTCGAGGCTTCCGACTTAGTGGCCATGGTAAAGGCGAGCGTGGTCCCAGTTTACTACCAGATGGTCTTATGAGTTGCTGGAAAGGCTGGCAGGATGCCACTGCAGAAGTTGGGAGAGAGGTAAGTATGATTGGCAGGGCTTCCATCCGTTACAGTGACATTCATACAGCCGCATCCAGGGGCCTCTTTGGGCGGCTGAGTCTTGCCACACTAAGGGGCGAGCCGGAGAATGAATCATGAAGACATTACGCTTCCAGTCGGGACGCTTTAAAATGAGTTAGGGTGAGGGTTCAAGTAGGGAAACGAGAAGGTCAAAGGGGAGGGTCCTGGAACGGAGAGATTTGACATTACTAATTAGCAACAGCCACATCTTCTCGGGTTGAAGGAAGGCAGGAAGAAGGAGAGAGGAAGCTAAAACATAGACATATCTCAGCCTCCTGGCGCAGTCGATGTAGAGCCCACTGCCCTAGCAGGAGACTGCGGCTCCTCTCGCTGTCCTGTCAGCCTAGAAGTCCTGGCTGGGATTCAGCAACCTGTTCTCCACGCTGATCTCATTATTTGGGACCCTTGAGTAGGAGTTGCCCAATAACCTGCCGAGAATCTAGAACCCAAAGGAGTCTGTGGGAGGAAAGAAGTCGGGGCGTGGTGTGTGTGTGTGTGTGTGTGTGTGTGTGTGTGTGTGTGTGTTTGCACGCACGCGCATGCACAGGCACCTTCCTGATGTCATGTTCTCACCTCAACCTAGCAGAGACCCAGAGGTCCAGGAGCTCTTCTCAGGGCTGTTGAAGACTCGCCGACAGACTTTTGCTTATGAACAATCATGTCAACCCACCCTGCAACTGTCAGTCCACTATTAAGTCAAAAATTTTGCCCAACTGCCCCTGTAGATAGTGCAAGATCTTGACCCTCACTCCATTAATCCATTTTCTCCTGGGCCTCAAAGCTCACTGTTTCTGAAGCCTAGGCAGCCCTTAATCTCCAAATCCTCCTAGCTCAGTCTCCTGAGAAGCTGAAGTGTATTTGAGACACTAAACGCAGCTTCTCTTTCTCAGGCCTTGGCTGTCTTCCCTGTCTCTTGGTGCACACACCCAGACTCACTGTGGCCAGTCTTAAACCCAGAAGTGGGGTCTACAAGTGTGGTGCCTTCACTCTCAGGCTGGATGGAATGGTTAACAGAAACATGCATGCCCCATTTCTCTACATTCTTCCAAACAGCAGAAACCAACCTCAGCAAACAGGACTGTTTATTTCAAAATGGCGAGGGGCAGACGCAGTGGGCATGACAGCTTCTTCTTGGTTGTCAACTTAGTTACATGTGGGATTAACTAAAACCCAAACAGCTGAGCTCACCTGTGAGGGATCATCTTCATCTAATTGAGGAAGACCTGGCTTTGTTCCTGGAGCATCCCCTATAAGACTGCAGTGGCAGTGTGTGTGCGTGTGTGTGTAAAGGGCTTGGAGATGAAGCACTCCGGAGACAGTTTCAGGGAGCAGCATCTGCTGTATTGCACATGAGCAGTTTATCTTGTGGGAGCCTATCTACTGTGATCGTTTAGCAGATTACCTCAGATTGGACAGCAAGCACTCGTATCACCAGGGTCTCTGTGCAGAAGAAGCACATAGACAGGTGACTTGGAGTGTGCAGACTCATCAGCAGGCAAGCTACCACCCACAGATGCTACCTCAGCATTCAGTGCTCTGACTCTGGGAATACCCAGGAGCATGGTGTGCCATGTGTCTTAGAAGTAGTGTGCTCAAAAAACAAAAAAACAAAACAAAACAAAAAAACCAAACAAGTAGTGTGCTCATAGTCAGACTGCCAGGTCATGC